ACCACTGGCAGACACAGGAGTCACCAGGCCCCACTGCCCCTGGGCCAGCTCTGTGCCACCAGGTGCCGCTGGCCCAGCGCACACGCCCACAGACCAGACCTGAGCCAAGTGCACACTCACTCCTACAGCAGCGCGACCCAGGGCCCCACGCCGGTGCCCGGCGACAAGGAACGCACGCCCTCGGTGTCACCCCCAGGGGCCCTCGCGGCCAGGAGAGGGGCAGCTCTGACCCTCGCCACCCCCGGAGGACCCTGAACGCACAGCGCTCGGGAGAGAAGCCGGACACACGGCCACGTGGCTGAGCGCCCCGGCGAGAAACGTGCAGAGGTCAGGCCGGAAGCGGGGGGCGGGGGGGGCTGCAGGGGTCGGGGTCTCCGGCAGAGCGGAAAGCCGGTTGCGCAATCCCGGGATGACGCCGAAACCACAGCATGCCTCCGTGAAGTGTTTGATTTCAGGTCACGCAAATTCCGCCTCAGGCTTTTAGTAGCGCTGTGGCCGGGGAAGCCACGAAGCTGGGGTTGCCTCGGGGTCCCCCCTTGGAGGGCTCGCCCAGGTGCTGGGGGCGGGAGCGGAGATCGGCCATCCCCTGCTCGGTCCAGGGCTGGGGTCTGGGGCTCCAGCCTGGCCCCTGCCAAGCAGCACGGCTCGGCCACCTTAGATGCCCGCGTGGCCCCCGCCTCTGCCTTAGTCCAGAGCCCCCGCCCCCCAAAGTCCGCTTTCCTTCTCTGCTCCCACCGGTCCGGCCCCTCCTAGCACCCACCTCCCGACTGCGTCCAGAGCTCTGTTCCCAGCTGGGTGGGTGACCTGAGGGCCCTCTGGGCCTCGGTGCTCCCTCCTTTCATCCACCCGGTGTAGCTGGGTGAGTAACAAGTGGTTAGTGGGGGGCCGCTGGAGCAGCACCCCAAGCCCATGTGTGCTCCCTCCTGTACGTTCTAAACTCCCTCATGGCTCCCAAGGGCACCCTAGAATGGGGACCCCATAGGAAGAGGAGCCACCCGGTCCTGGCAGTCCCCCAGACGCTCTCCGGGACCCCTGGGCTGTCATGTCAGGAAGCACACAGGCTTCCTGCCCCCCTGCTCCCCACAAGGCACCTAGGTGGTTGCCCCATTTTCCCCTCCATCCCTGAGGGCTGTTTGTGGTCACTTTCAACACCAGGATTCCCAACTGCTGCCCAGGCGCCACCCAGGAGGCCTGCTGCGCCCAGCGAGGAAACTCAGGACATGGGCTTGAGCCTTCTGCTAAATCCAGAAACATGCAGAGTTGTCTCTCTCTCTCTCTCTTTAAAATTTGCCAAACAAGAACTGGGGTGCAGGCCAGAGGTGCAGGGACAGGGACAAGTGAGGACTCCCCAGATCAGGCAAATCCACTGAAGCCCACTGCTGAGCGGAGCAGGGGGCAACAGGAGAGGGCTGCTGAGCCCCAGGGAGGTCCCTCCCTGGCCCGAGCTGGTGCTGCGCTTCAACACCCTGCCCACCAGGAGGCCCAGAGATGAGTATTTTAAAGCCAGAGCGGTGCAGGGGTTAGAGTTTCAGCACCATCAAGCTC